TGCTCTCTGCCCAAGGACACATCAATGGGAGGCTTTGTCTTTTTCAGAGTATTTTTCTTCACAGTCCACACACATCCCAGGGTACACAGTACAGAGATTTTGATGATTACTCTTTCCTCCTGTTTATTTGTGGGATTAACTGCCCTCAAGACCTAACAGATAATATTTTTTTTCCTCCACCCCTAACAAAACTTGATAGAAAGCTCAAGGCTTCAGAGTTGCTGAGCTCAAGTCTATGTCGGTGACTGACCATTTGGAGAGGCACCTCTCACACTGTGTTTCCAGTTGTTTAATTATTCTGGGTGGGAACCACAGACTATCAGTAATGGAAAGTCTAAGTGCAGCAGACAAGGACAATGACTAAACATTCCAGACACCTAGGATGGAGCACGTACACCAAGGTACTCAGCCACGCCAGCCATTTCACACAGGAGACATTCCACGTGGCTATGTGGTGAGCTGCAGGTTTTTGGGTCTTTTAAAAAAAAACATCTCAGCTATGAACCTGCCTGAACAACGCAGAGTTAAACATGGGAAACTCACCACTAAGCTCATGCATCTAGTGTTTTTGTTAGTTTTCAAGCTCCCAAATTTAGATGAAGTATATTTTACTCCCTATGAGAAATCTCCACATACAGCCCATAGTGTGCTGTATAAAAATATAGCACTAATTTTAGACAGGCAGTGTAAATTGCATTCACCACTCTAAAAGGCAAAACCAAACCAAATCAGAAAAAATAGTAAAAATACTTTGAATACGAAGGCTTTGATATCATTCCACTTGGCAAAGAGCACTTTTCTACTGACTTCAACCCTCATTTTTTCAGCTACTAGAAATATTCTTCCCCCTCCCCCAAAGGTCCTCTACTTAATGGACAAAAAAGTGTTTAAAAGAAAACAAAAGCAACTTGGATTTTTTTTTCCCTCTGTAACTCAGCCCTGTAAACTTCAGCTCTTTTATATGAGCCTCTGAGCTGCTTCACATCACACAGGGCTACCTTTTCTTTTCACTTCTTGCTGCAAATGCATAGGCTCTTCCCCTGTGTGCTGGAACTGAAAGCAATCATGAAGAATTGCAGGTCTGACCTAAGTGTTCTGCGTCTGGACATGCTCTGCATGCAGTTATTAACTGCAGTGTGGAGGGGAGGCTCAGCCTTACCTTCTTCATCTCTTTCTTTGTCCAGAGAAGCTGAAGGGTTTTCAGCAATAGGAGTGGGTCCTGGCCTGGAGGACGGGGAAGAGAGAGAGAGGGAGAGAGAAAAAAGGGGGGAGAAAAACAAAACAAAACAGATTTATTGGCTCTGTACAGGCAGCCTAGACACACTGGTGCATTGTTTCACCGAAGAGAAATCAGCTACTCCATGCCACTGTGTTTGAAACCACCAACCTTCCAACTGTCAGTCAGGATTAAAGTGCTAAAATCCCTCACTTTGAAATCCTAACAAAATAACAGACATCATCCATGCATGGCTTTAACTAAACACCCACACGGGCTCAAATACTGAAAAGCTGTATTGGTGCATTTACAACTAAATCATGCTGCTGCCATGCATCAAATACATCCCCACCAGTCCCACCACCACTCCCCCTTTTCAATATGAAAACAAAATGGTCCTAGAAGAGTAAGCATCTCGCACAGGTTGGAAAGGATTATCAACACACTAAGTTTTAATGAAATGGCTCTAAAGTGTTAACCTCATTGCAACCTGTCGATGGAAGATGCGAGTGGGTGAATTTACGGGAAGATGAGCCTCTATTTGCTTGGCAAGTGCTGGGCAGCCTTTGTGTGATGGAGAGCTGACCCTCCCTGCACCGGGTCAGCCACGCGGGGCTGGAAGCAGGCTGGACTCTGACGTGATTTGGGCAAGATGGTGTTTGAGGAAGAGGAAAGATGAAATGCTGCTGTGATTAGTGGCAAGGCTAAAAAAAAAAGTGTGATCAATTATTTCAAAAGAAGGTTATTTGGAATTTTTTCTCTTTTACTTTTCACCTAGTTATTTGAGAACTTGCATTCAGTTGTGATTTTATATCTATTGTCATTCATCATACCAGTATTATTCAACATACCATTATTCATCATACCAGTATTTCTGAACAAAATGTTTAGAAATATTTCATTTTAAAAGCGGTAACATTTTTGATATCTGGTTCTATTTAATTCATAATCATTTACTTACGAAACCATGACTCAGAATATTCTGAATGAAAATCTTCTACTGCAACAACAGTTTAAATGTGAAGAATGAATTTAAAAATCTGAATGAGTTCTCCAAAACACTGCTTGTATGTTTAGTGCACCCCCTCTTACGTTCTCACAAAGCCAAAAGAAAAATGTTAAAACTAAAGAGGAAACATCCTTTCAATCACCTTCCGCGTTCTACAGTTCCTAAATTGCTCATTTCCAAATGCTAGATTTCTTGCTTAGTATCCCATCTCACTTCATATTTCAGGTCACAAAAAGCTACTTCAAATGTGAAAAGCTCTACCTCATCTGACTAAACTCTGAAGCACTGCATTTATAAAATATTTTTAGTAGCAAGCTGATTACTGGTTAAGCCAAGAGAATGATAGTATTCCATTATCCACTAACCCCTGGGAAACACTGACCAAATTAAAAATGTCACATTTACAATTCATAAGATAATATTTCCTCTCATCTCTGGTTGTTCTGAAATCTTGAACTCTCCAAACACTGGCTGTTCTCAGCTACTGCTTCTCCTTTGGAAAAAGTCTCATTTTACAATAAAATAGAAGAAAATCCAGATCCCCACTCCCCGCAAAATTAGCAACTAACAGTCAAATTCAGCCTCTGTTTGTGTGCATGCATATATGCACACTCTCCTCTTGGCCTGACTCCCAAAGAAATTTATACACACAGAGGAAAAAAAAATTAGAATGCAACCCAGTGTGTAACCAAATATACTGTAAATCTGAACTGTAATTAATGCAGTGAACAAGCTGGAGTGATACAGGAAATGAGAGCAGTTAGGAAAGCAGTGTTTCACTTCAGATACAGCCAATAATTCAACTTGTTAAAAAGCTTTCTAAACCTCAATCAACAAAACAAGCCCTTTTCTTATGTGCCTTGTTCATACCTTACCTCCCTGTAACTGAAATCTGATCTCACCGTTATTTCAATATGTAGACACATGAAAACCGTCTCTCCAGTCAATTTTAAACGACTCAGCATGTTGCTAGCCTGCCACTGTGCAAGCACGGGTAAGTAGGAGACAACATTCCCCCCTCCCCAAGCCCTGGAAGTGAATGCACTCGTAATGTAGTTATTTCTATTAAATGTCTCAGGACACTGCCAAGCCCTGGCGTTGGGCAGCCAGGCCAGCACCTGCTGCTGGGGCAGGTGAAGGTCAACCATTGCAGGTTTTGCTCTCCATTCAGTCTGTGCATAAGAAAAAGGCAAATCCCATTCAATTCTCCAGAATGGGGATTGAACAAGGAGAGAAAACACTGAAATATTAACTGTGGTACATTGGTGTTGGAACAGTGCTGTTCCCTTCCTTACCTCAAAGCCTTGGAAGTACCTAAGGATGAAATGTTGTCAGAGGCTAAACATAACAAAATAACTGATGAGCAGGTACTCCTAGAACCAAACATAAATGAGAGCACAAAGCAACATTATGCTTTTGCGTAGTCCCGCCAGAGTGGAAAGCCACTGCAGTTTATGCTGGATATTCAGCTATTGTACCTAGCTACCCTCCAGCTAGGACAGAGGATGTAAATGTGAAGGACCACATAATTTTGGGTACTGAAAGAAATGAAACTTCCTCTGTTCTTCCTCCTGCAGGACCTCTTTGGGGAACTGGCTTCCTCTTGGTTCTCCTGGCACCCCTGAAGAGTGAAAATAAATGTCTTTGGCACAGATGAAGCCATAACAGTACTGTTATGTTCTGACTGGAATACCAGGTAGGATCCTGCTCATCCACATCCGAGAAGGAACCAGAGAAGCAGCAGGAAACTAACGCCAGGATATCTGAGGAAAGAGGACAGGACCTTAGAAGGAGTTTCATAAACCATCCAGAACAAATCTGGAGAGCAGACAATTGCTCAACACAAAAGGGAGAGAGGAAGAAATACAAGGGAAGGAAGAACAAAGCAAAGCAACTGAAAACCAAACGGTCATAACTGAACCACAAACGCATCCGGGCTCAACTCAGGGGACAAGAACAGGAAAATTCTGGAGCAACCCCCAGCCACAGTAGTAGGAGCAAGAAGCAGCAATTACTAAGATACATGTATTAAAACAGTGACAGAACAGTGCCTGCAAAAGCAAGGACAGGTCAGAGAGGCCAGAAAAATGCCTTCATATGTCACACCAAGAACACCAGAATATCCACTTCTAAAGAAAAGTTAAATTCTGCAGAGACTTTTACATACTGAAGAGATATCCAGCTATTAGCAAGGGTCATTCAATGAGCAAAACACACAAAACAAGGATGAGACCATGTAGAACAGTGTGAAAAAACAGTGTGACAAATAGGAGAGCATCAGCTCACTCTGCTCCCAGCTGTGAGCAGCCAAGGGTGGCCAGGTCTACCATGCTCCCAAACTGCAGAGGCTGAGATGTGCCCCAGGCAGTTGATCCCATTCAGTTCCTAGACCAAGTTTGAAGAGAAAGTGCTCAGCCTGACACTGATTCTTCACAGCTCCAAAAAAGTGGGTTGTAGACCATAAAATATCTGGGAAAGCTTCACCAAAGCAACATTATAGCACTTTGGTAGAGATCTCAAAAAGACACATCTGCACCCACTCCATCAAGACACAAAACCTCTAATTCTTCACCTGACAGTTTCTCCAAATAGTATGTTCCTGTTTTAAGAATTTTAACATTAATATATTTCCTTTCAACGTTTTTCATTTTGAAAATAAATTTCCTCTGCCCTGAATCTGGTACCAAAATTGAAGGAGATGGTAAATCAAATCTTTTCCAGTTCTCAATATCTGTGGTTACATTTCAAAACCATATAAACCACAAGGCTTATATTTTTGAGTTAGAAAAGTGCCTTTGAGGAAAGCCATAAACTACTTTCTGTTCATTCTCTCTTTTTCCTTTGTGCATACATCACTCAAAACCTGCTGTGATCACAACAAAAGCGGTGCCCGCAGGCTGGTGAGGTAAAGCAGCGGTTTTGCTATTGCGTTCTTGCAAAATTCTGCTGCATTATTCACCAGTTCTGCTGAAACATCCTGGCAAGGGAAACCCACTTTCTGACTGAGGCTCCTTGTGTGCCTCACATGGGGAAAGTGAGACATCCAACCCCAGAGGAGGAATTTACCAATGAAAAAAATCTCTCAACACTTTTTCTTTGTGTCAAAAGCCATTAAATGCCCCATGGCCCGAGCCCTGGAAGAATTACAGTCAACTAATTAAAAGATAGAGAATGGAGAAAAAAAAAGCAAAATAAGAGGAGGCTAATGTGACTGAAATGTAGGATCACATCCACCAAGCAGTCAATTATAGCTGAAATTCATGGACAGAAAAGGTCAAGAACAAAATGCTAATGCTTAAGACTTCTTTAGGCAGAGAGCTTATACCTCTGCCTTGCAAATTAACAGGATTTTAATAAATGTTTAATGGAATATATAACAAATCCAACCCACCCAGGAAACAATCAGTGAATTTTTACTATTATCTATTGTTCTATATGCCTTCTGCCCCAATAAATCCCTGAAATCTGGCCTCTGTGAAAACCTGTTATCTCAACAAGCCTTTGAGATATTTTTCTGAAAGGAAAATAAAGGTTGTAGATATTTCAGTGTCACCGTAAGCGCAGCTAGCCCATTTGCACTTAAAAACTAAAATATATAAATGCATAGGCAATCCATAAACTGGGGGTGGGTGGGGGAGAAGAGTTATTCAGCCAACTCCTGTTTCAGCACCATGATGGGTACACCCAACACCCTATAATTTAAATTACATCTGAGAACCAACAAACAGTATGCTATGCGGATTAGGAATTAATCAAAGTCTCTTATCAAAACCTACTTTGTCTCAATTTTTTTTCAGAAAAGTGTCTGTAGTTCACACCAAATGTGTGCTAATTTTGTAGAAGAGAAAGCTGGTAGGGAACAGAAATAATATCACTTTGATGATGCAAAAAATGAATGGATACATTTTCTAGTGACAAATTTTGAATCTCTACTGATTTAATTAAAAAGATACAAAATTCCTCCATAGAAACTGACAGATTTTTAAACCCTCTAGGTTTTCTG